ATCTCGACGGTGTCATCTAAACTACTAGGAGGATCGTTGGGGCAGTCGCGGCAGTACCACCAGATGATCCCTCCCTCGCCTCGGACGGTGGCTCTGTACATCTCAAGAGATATACCTACAATGAAAATTTAAGTTATTTTCAAAACGTGTCGACTTACGTGTACATGAAACCATATTTCGGCCATAAATGAAATATACATATTTAAAGAAACTTGATTTCATTATATACTATTTGTCCTTCTACATGTTCGGACATCAGTATTAATAAAATCATAGTTTCGGCCTACATGTACACGAACATACACAATTTGACTTTATCAAACATTATATGACCGCCGACGATGTGGAGCGGAAATATAATATTTAATAAAATCAAATATCGACATACATGTACATGCTTATGAGAAACATGATTTCATTAGATAATCAGTACCCGTACATGTATTTTGTACGAGCGCTAGTATTAAATGAAACCATATTTCGGCCATAAATGAAATATACATATTTAAAGAAACTTGATTTCATTATATACTATTTGTCCTTCTACATTATTCCTTTTATGGCCGAAAGAATTTTCGTATTTTTTATTGAACGAAACCATATTTTCGGCCATAAATGGAAACTATATTTGAATTACATACCAGTATCACATGTCCTGTGTTGCCATCTGCTACATGTGTCGCACTGCAATGCATGCTGCCTCGGCCTCACCACACGGTCACAATGTTGACAGTTGTCGCTCATGTTGATTAGATGCAAAGTGTTGTTCAATTGATGTAAGTCGATTGAAAGTGATTGTCAAAGAAAACCAGTCATATTTATCACCATTTGCGTGAGTGATCAATACATTTGATTGGCTACCTGGAGTTGAGGCGGTGATGAGGTACTCAAGAGTTAATTATGAGCTACTCACCTATAACAACAGTCTGGTAGGCGAACATCATTGTTTGTGTAAGGCAATAAAAACAAAACAACAACACCAGTACGTAATTAAATAAATCCTTTAATGTGTTTATTTAAATATAATTCTACTTATAAATGTATAAATCCCATGTATTTAACATATAGATACATAGTAGGGCCGATTTTAACTTGGGCCGATTTCACTTGGGTAAAATAGGCCTGGCCGATATTAGCTTGGGCTGATATAACCAAATACCGATAGAGTGACAAACACATTGAAATCAGTAGACCTTTGAGTCAAACATATTACCTGTCTGTGAAAGGTCAAAACTGGTAAAATTCGCTCAAATTTCACATGTTTCTGTACCATGGCTGTTTTCGGCCGTTATTTTGGTACAGAAAGTTACAAAAGCAACGGGTTGATTTTATTTCTGTTTTCATATCTTTGTGTACCATTGTTCTGTAACCAGAGTCTAGTACTCTCAGTACATTGATTACGTATATTGAAATGTCTTCAAGAGTTATCGTTCCTGCCAATGTTTGTTTGGAACTCTTTTATATGTAAGGCGCATTCAGAAATTATGCAAAGATTGACGCAACACATGTGCTAAGCCTACTCGCCAAAGATGTTACCCTGGCCAAGCCAAAATGTATGTTTATTACATATTGCATTATAATAATGGTTAAGAACATGTATCTATATAGGTTGTCATAGATGTCATATGCAAGTTATTCGTATTCAGTTCATAAATTGTAATGCCTTGTGCAGAAAGCATGTTCTGATATCACGTCTTATTTTAGATTTGGCGCCATTACTGGGCCAAATTAGTTACGTTGTGATACAGATGACTACAGTTGGTCATTTTTACATATCTAGTCCTATTCATCATATCGGTTGATACACTAAGTCATTAAGCTAGTCATTCCATATTTCTAGTCACATATTTGTCAATAAGTAGGTCATTTAGCTGGTCTTGTTGTGATTGTAAATCCGTGTTCAGAATACTGTCAAACCTGTATTAGCGATCACCATTATTGTGTAGCACATAGTCTCGCCCAGTAGAAATGCCCCATATATATTATCGGTTTGTTTATGTGACCCTTTGCTCGGTCCCTCATGATGTTGATGTATTTCAGACAAATCTATTTATGGGTTGCATTATAATTACTACTATTGAGAGCTAATTGTTATTTTTCTATAATGACAAGGGAAGTAACTCTTTGTTGACTTGGTTTTTTTTAAGGATGCATGTACTGTTACTACTATAATGGTGTGTAAGATGGGTTTGACTTGTGTTGATATCATCATTTTATTATGTAATTTCCATTATTACCCCTCGGTATGCATAATTCAACTGATGTTGAGCAGAATATAATGTTTTGTACATTTGTAACAATAGCATTTCAATTTCTGTAATTTCAGTCTTCACTGACGGACTGATGAGGTGATTTTTTGAATAAAGTCAGTAGCCCTACTGTTAACGAGACATCCTGTCTTCTCGTCTCTTGTGGTGACAGTATAGTGAAGAATTATTGCCATGGATAAATCTAATGAGTAGGAAATGGCTACATCTGAAGAAGGAGCCATGTCAGCTAGGAGAGTGCGTACACTTTCACCTAAGGCCCTTGAACAATATGCCCTCATAGATGACCAGAGTAACAAGACACTTGCCTCTTCCTCATTCTTCGAGGATTTCGCTGGTCTTTGTGAGTTTCCAGAAATCCAGTATTCACTTTCATCATGCTCAGGTGTTACTGACACATCGGGTAGACGAGCGGAAGGATTTGTTGTACAAAGTATGGATGGAACAGTGAAACATGACTTGCCAATCATTACAGAGTGCAACCAGATTCCTGACGAGAAAGAAGAGATTCCTACTCCAGACATTGCTTACAATCATTTACATCTTAGGGACATTGCCAGTGAGATTCACGAGTTTGACTCGAAATGTCTCATTACCCTACTGATAGGAAGAGACTTGGTGGAGGCTCATCATGTCCACGACCAACGAATTGGTCCGAAGGGTTCTCCCTATGGTTAAAAGCTGAGTTTGGGATGGGTAATTATTGGGGAAACCTGTCTTGGACGTGTTCATTGCCCGAATTCTAATGTATCTGTGTATAAAACTCATATTTTGAGGGATGGACGTCCGTCAACATTTCCTTCCTGCCCTAACGAGTTTAACTTGCGACTTGAGCCTATTAAAAGACTTGGTGGAAAAGAGCCCTACGACTTATTCCAGAAAGGTCCAGATAGCGAAAGACTTGGAATGTCCATTGAAGATGGACAAGTTATGCATTTAATGTAGACAGAGTTCAAAAAGGATTCGGAAGGTAATTTGACCGCACCACTTCCATTCCGGTCACCACGACAACGATTATCCAACAATAGAGGACAGGCTTTAAAAAGAGCCAAGATACTCCACACCAGTCTGGAAAGGAACCCTGTGAAGAAGGAACACTTCACCACATTCATGAAAGGGATAATTGAAAACGGACATGCAGATGTTGCCACTACGATAGACCCACAAGCAGAGTGTTGGTATCTTCCACTCTTTGGTGTTTACCACCCAAAGAAAAAAGACAAAATCCGTGGGGTATTTGACTCATCAGCAGTATATGATGGAGTATCCCTCAACAACGTCCTCCTCAAAGGACCTGACCTCACGAACAGCTTGATTGGGGTTTTGATGAGATTCCGACAGGGAGCTGTTGCCGTAAGCGGTGACATTGAAAGTATGTTTTATTGCTTTTCTGTGCATGAGGATCACAGGAACTTCTTGAGGTTCTTTTGGTATCAGGATAATGACCCTTCTAAACAGCTCATCGAATACCGAATGCGCAAACATGTGTTTGGTAACCGACCCTCGCCTGCTGTAGCTACCTTAAGGAAGGTAGTAGAGGATGCCTCAGATGACATCAAGGAATTTGTTCAAAAGAACTTCTATGTCGATGATGGGCTGACATCATGTGAGGATGTAGATTCAGCTGTCTCTTTGATGAAAAGAACCCAACAGACCCTCAAAGAAAATGGCAGTATTAGGCTGCATAAAATTGCATCAAACAATCAAGAGGTTCTTGATGCATTCAATTCAGAGGATATTGCGAAGGATATAAGCGGTATAGACATACAGCAAGAAAAGGCCCCTCTCCAGAGAAGTCTAGGTCTCCAATGGGACCTCAGGAATGACTCATTTACCTTCCAAATAGACTTTGAGGATAAACCTTACACAAGACGCGGAGTTTTGGCTACTATAAACAGTTTATATGACCCATTGGGCTTTGCTGCACCAGTAACAATAAAGGGAAAAGTCTTACTCCGCAATATGATGTCATCTACCACTGACTGGGATGAGTCTTTATCAGAAGACTTCAAATCAGATTGGAATATGTGGCAGAGAAGCCTGCATGACCTGGAATCTGTGAAAATTCCCAGGCCATACAACATCCTTAAAAAGGAGGAGGTAGTGAAAAAAGGATTACACGTCTTTTGTGACGCATCTGAAAAAGCTGTAGCAGCTGTCGCTTTCCTTAAAGCAGAAGATTCTGAAAACAACATCCAATTTGGGTTTGTACTTGGGAAATCAAGAGTTGCTCCTAAGCAGGGTCATACTATACCTCGCCTGGAGTTATGCGCCGCATTGTTGGCTGTAGAAGTAGCGGAAATAGTATCTCAGGAATTGGACATGCCACCTCAGGGCATCACATATTACACAGATAGTAAAGTAGTACTTGGCTACCTCAACAACAAAACCAGAAGGTTCTACGTATACGTCACAAATCGTGTTGAGAGGATTCTGAAGTTCTCTGAACCTCATCAGTGGCATTATGTACGTACCGGTAACAATCCAGCGGATCATGGAACCCGCTTCGTTCCGCCAGCTTTACTGTGTGACTGCTCCTGGATTGGGGGACCTCAACTTCTCTTTTCAAATGAATTGGAGCTCGAGAGTACCGATCCTGGCAAATTTGCTCTCATTAACCCCCAACACGACAAAGAGGTACGGTCTGAACAGATCTGTACTATGAAGTCAAGTCTGGAAGTACATAGTCAGAAGCTGTGGCTTACTGCCGAGAAAATTAAAAGGTTCTCTTTATTGTCCAGTATTTTTCGAGCCGTATCGTTCCTTCAAAACTTTGCTGCCAGATCAGGGTCTGACAAGAACAACAAACACGCAGAGGCAGTTGTCATACATCAGGTACAAAAGGACGTCTTTAGAAAAGACTTTGAGTGTCTGAAGAAAGGAAAACCTCTTAATAAAGACAGCTCTCTGCTTTCTCTTTCACCAGTTCTAAACCAAGACAATCTGTTATGTGTCGGAGGGAGATTGCGGAGAACTGCCATTCCTGTTCAAATGAAGAGTCCCATCTTAATACCAGGAAAACACCATTTTGCCACCCTGCTTGTCCGCCATTATCATGAGAAAGTCTGTCATCAGGGACGACACTTGACAGAAGGTGCTGTAAGAGAGGCAGGCTACTGGATTGCAGGTGGGAAACGTCTTGTCTCATCAATCATTCACTCATGCGTTACTTGCCGTAAGTCCAGGGGTAAGCTAAGTGTTCAAAAGATGTCCGACCTACCTACAGAGAGACTTGAACCAGTACCTCCTTTTACTTCAGTCGGTGTTGACTGCTTTGGACCATGGCAGATAGTCACACGTAAGACAAGAGGTGGCCAGGCAAATAGCAAGAGATGGGCTGTCTTGTTCACTTGTCTCACTTCAAGGGCAGTTCATATTGAGGTAATAGAAGAAATGAGTACTTCGTCATTCATCAACGCCCTTCGCCGCTTCATATCTATCAGAGGAAAGGGCAAAGTGTTCAGGTCTGACAGGGGTACAAACTTTGTAGGATCTATGGAAAAGCTTGGTGGAATCAACGTTGAGAACGAGTCTGTAAGGAAATGTCTCCTTGAGGATGGTTGCAGATGGATCTTCAACCCCCCCCCCCCCCCACATGCCTCCCACATGGGTGGTGTGTGGGAGCGGATGATAGGGGTTACAAGAAGGATCATTGATGCTTTACTTCTGGATAGTAGACGGGGCGTTCTCACACATGAGGTCCTTACTACCTTTCTTGCCGAAGTGACAGCTATCGTCAATTCGCGACCACTAGTGCCACTGAGTTCTGATCCTCAAGATCCCTATCCTCTTAGTCCATCTCTGATTCTCACTCACAAGAGTGATTCAGTCACCGACATAATCATTCCAGCTGATACTAGAAACATGTATAGAGCTCATTTGAAGATGGTTCAGTGTCTATCTGATATGTTCTGGAAAAGATGGAGGATGGAATTTCTGCAGAGTCTACAAGGACGACGGAAATGGCACCAGGATCAGAGGAACTTTCGTGTGTCAGATGTTGTCTTGTTAAGAGACAAAGTGCGCGCAACTACTGGCCGATGGGCATTGTTACCAGAGTGTTCCCCAGCGAGGATGGCAAAATTCGTACGGTAGAGATTCGTGTGATTTCACCCAAAGGAACGCCTTCATGCTACACCCGTCCCATTAACGAACTTGTCCTTCTATTGGAGACTGATCATGAAACACAGTAAATATTTGAACTATGAACAAGATAATGTAGTTCGGAATGACACTCAGTCATCACTAATTAATTGATTTTATATATATGCTTAAAAATCCACTAAATAAGTTTTGTGATATCTAGACAAGATATCAGGTGAGTAGTGTTCTGTAACCAGAGTCTAGTACTCTCAGTACATTGATTACGTATATTGAAATGTCTTCAAGAGTTATCGTTCCTGCCAATGTTTGTTTGGAACTCTTTTATATGTAAGGCGCATTCAGAAATTATGCAAAGATTGACGCAACACATGTGCTAAGCCTACTCGCCAAAGATGTTACCCTGGCCAAGCCAAAATGTATGTTTATTACATATTGCATTAGAATAATGGTTAAGAACATGTATCTTTATAGGTTGTCATAGATGTCATATGCAAGTTATTCGTATTCAGTTCATAAATTGTAATGCCTTGTGCAGAAAGCATGTTCTGATATCACGTCTTATTTTAGATTTGGCGCCATTACTGGGCCAAATTAGTTACGTTGTGATACAGATGACTACAGTTGGTCATTTTTACATATCTAGTCCTATTCATCATATCGGTTGATACACTAAGTCATTAAGCTAGTCATTCCATATTTCTAGTCACATATTTGTCAATAAGTAGGTCATTTAGCTGGTCTTGTTGTGATTGTAAATCCGTGTTCAGAATACTGTCAAACCTGTATTAGCGATCTCCATTATTGTGTAGCACATAGTCTCGCCCAGTAGAAATGCCCCATATATATTATCGGTTTGTTTGTGTGACCCTTTGCTCGCTCCCTCATGATGTTGATGTATTTCAGACAAATCTATTTATGGGTTGCATTATAATTACTACTATTGAGAGCTAATTGTTATTTTTCTATAATGTCAAGGGAAGTAACTCTTTGCTGACTTGGGTTTTTTAAGGATGCATGTACTGTTACTACTATAATGGTGTGTAAGATGGGTTTGACTTGTGTTGATATCATCATTTTATTATGTAATATCCATTATTACCCCTTGGTATGCATAATTCAACTTATGTTGAGCAGAATATAATGTTTTGTACATTTGTAACAATAGCATTTCAATTTTTGTAATTTCAGTCTTCAATGACGGACTGATGAGGTGATTTTTTGAATAAAGTCAGTAACCCTAATGTTAACGAGACATCCTGTCTTCTCGTCTCTTGTGGTGACAGTATAACCATGGTACACTTTTACAGGGTACACAAAGATTTGAATTTTCATATCTTTGTGTACCATATCAAAGTGTACCGTGGTACAAAAAGATATGAAAGTTCATATCTTTTTGTCAGGCTCTTGTCGGCCATCGTACCTATGTGATCCAATAAAGCATGAAAATAAAGCCCCAATCCATACCTTTAGCCGTTACCGATATACATTACTAGTAAACAAGCTATTCGAGAGGTATTAAATTTTAACTCGCCTGGTAACGCCATCTGCGTGGGAGAGGCTTGTTTTTGTGTCATTAATATTTACCCATATATTTACCAACTATATCTGAGACGTAGGCGTGCTCTACGCTGGTATAGTTAGGTGGTCCAGTGGGACTTCCGGACAGATTATTATTGTCTGCTATTTAGCTACGTCTTTAACGTGTATTAAAGTTAGATGAATTTGAAAGTGACAAAATTTAGGAAATTGCAACAAAAGGAGTATGCCACCAACGAGTCCTATAAACGACAAGTATGCTATTGACAATCGACCTACAGTAGTAACATGTGTTTATCTGTGATGGTCTGGTATACACATGTACAATATCGGGCACCTCTTTGCGTTGTTCGTAAAAAAGAACTCTATTATAAAACAGGCCAAACATACCATATTGTCAACACACGAGGACGACAATGGACCCCAATGAAAACAGGAGAGGAACACTACAGGGACCGAGAACAATCGAAAGGGAAAATGAAAACTAATTGTTTCAATTCATTGTCCATACAGATAGAACGTCAGCCTCTAAAGTGCAATAAGTTATATAACGACAGGTCAAAACTTGGCAATATTTATCGTAAATGTACATCGATTTACAATTGAAAAGAATAATTCAGAAATTCATATATTATGTAAATACATTTTGAACCAAAAAGATATTTGTTCAAGAACAGATGAATAAATATTGTTAATAATATATGAAAAGATTAAATTTCTAATATCCCATTAAAACCGATAATCCCTATAAATACACAAACGTTGTATAGGTCGATTTACTGGTGATACGGCGTGTACATAGGTCTGCCACCATGTCGTATCTATCCTTCCGTTATAGGCTGTCTGTTACGCATATCAGGACTTCCAGGATTAATGTCAACTGCTACACAACCTAACAACAGGACTTTCTGAGGATGTCAATAAAGACTATAGGCAAGTTACACGGTCACCATCATATTAAAGCAATATCAAGGTCGATGTTTTTTATTATGCTTGTTAGTGTGTCTTGGTTTGATTACGCCGGTTCCCGGTGTTAAGACGTGACGTGGATTTGATAAAGAATCAGAAGACACCTGGCCTTATTTTCCTTGTAAACTTCAAACGTCTTCATACAAATCTATCTTTCTATTTATGTTTTGCTTTTATTTTATTCACTTAAAATCGAAACACTGTTCTATTTCCATTTCGGCATTTTTTCTCTCTTCTTTTCCACGTGTGCCACTTGTTTAAATACAGAATACTGAATCCCTGAAAACATCTTGTTATTACCGAGACAGCCTTACTTCAATCTCAATTAAGAATTTTGGGGAAAATGTTCAATATCACCTCGGTTTCAAATAAATGAGGAAATGACACTACAACATTTATTCATAAATACTTGTATTACGTAACGCCGATCCAATTAAAAACTCTTCATTCAAATTGTATATATAGGTATACCTTAGCAACAGTCACGGTATTCAATGTATCCGAATGTACTGTGTGACCTTCGGGTTACTTTGAGAATTTCCTTTAATACCGTTTAATTTTAAAAATTAAACACATTTATTTTTGTGTTTGACAATTTAGTGGTGTGTTGCCTTAAAGCAGGGAGCATATTTTGGCGAGAGTTATTCCTCTTTAGCCAAGCAGGCATGCGCACAACAGTTTATGTTAATTACAAAACAGCACGCCGGCGTTATATATGCTCATATTTTCAGCACGAAAAACGTCTTTTTGTTGCTAACAAGTTCTTACGATGACACCTGTTCATAAAAAGGTAGTTACATCAAAGCGGCCGGCGGGGACTCCAGCTAGACCGAGAAGTACGAGGAAACGGAGGCGGCCCGGGCATTTAACCGAATGTGAGGCATCGGCCAGCGGGGAAGGAGTGGCGCCATGCGAACCCTTACCGGATAGGGGGGATCGGACGGACAATCAACCTGGTGGTTCCCCGCTCCCTCAGGAGATCGTGGAGGCATCAGAAATGGATGCTGGACATAGGGGTAGGCATGATCCCACGTTTGGCATTAATCAAAATGTCAATAGTGAGCTGGTAGGCCTTAATAACGTGTGGGGGTCGGCCCTAGGGTTTGGGGGTCACACTAGTGGAGCAACGGGCATGGGGTCCCCACAGCAATCTAATGTAGGCCCAGGCCTAATGCATACACAAAGCCCAACGGGCTTAAATCTGCTTTACAATAGTGATCCCCTGCCCAATGTAGTCCCATGTGCGGATGACGGTCTGGCTGCACATGTACCCCCACTGTTACGACAAAAAATACAAACTAACCAGTATATAAACTTGGCGTTACTGCTAAAAGGTAGTGCGGATTTGCACGATTTTTATGCTGGAAGCAGTCTATACCTGAGCGACCAAGGTATTTTAGAATCCAGGCCCAGGGACATGAAGGACAAAATTCCCAATATCGAAAAATGGACAGATGCTTTTGTTATCTTTATGTCGATTTATTTGCAAAGATTTCCACAAAAATGTTTAGAACTCCTGCATTACACGGCCATCATTCGTGATGCTGCAGGAAGGTGTAACAACTTCGCCTGGCGGGCATATGACGAACAATTTCGTCTCCGCCAAGCGGTAAATCATAGATCATGGGACAAGCTTAATGCTGATCTGTGGTTAAGACTAATGTCTGGGTCAGCACAAAGTAATCCGGCTGAGGGCAATAGTGGGTCCTTCTCTGGAAACGCCAAAAATAAAAACAAAGGCGTCTGTTTTGGTTTCAATAATGGGATGTGTAAGTTTAACCCTTGCCATTTTCGACATGTATGTAAAAATTGTGACGGAAATCATCCACAAATAAAATGTGGTTCTTTTCGAGGCAAATTCCCCAATGCTGCTTCAAAAAGTGCAAACACCAATACCACAACAGTGTCCAAAAAATGAAAAAATTTCATTAGGAAAATCACCAATACATTTGGCTACACTTCATAAATTTCTGAGGAATTACCCAAAGGCAAGCATTAAGGAAGAGCTATTAGATGGTTTCACAAATGGTTTTCGGCTGCATTACTCTGGCCCCCGCCTTCCAACTACAGCCGATAACTTACCCTCTATTAATAAAAACATGGGGTATGCTAGGGATAAAATATACAAAGAAATCATCCTGGGGCGAATAGCAGGTCCTTTTTCTAATAAGCCATTGTCAACTTTGCGGGTATCACCATTAGGTTTAATTCCAAAAAAACATCCAGGTGATTTTAGACTCATTCAGCATTTGTCTTATCCAGAAAAATCATCAGTGAATGATTATATTGACCCGCATCTATGTTCAGTAAAATATACTAAATTTGATGAAGCAATTTATATGGTACAAAGGCTTGGAAAGGGGGCCCTATTAGCCAAGGCAGACATAAAGTCTGCATTCCGCATCTTGCCAATATGGCCTGGGGATTTTGATCTGTTAGGTTTCAAATTTGAAAACCAATATTTTTACGATAAATGCTTGCCTATGGGGTGTTCCCATTCCTGTGCTCTCTTTGAAAAGTTCTCCTCATTTTTAGAGTGGGCAGTAAATCAACAAGCACCATCGGGAAACCTTTTACATTATTTGGATGATTTCCTTTTTGGCGGTAAGCCTAACACTAGTGAGTGCCAGGGTATGTTGACCAAGTTTGAGGAAGTATGCGATGAGCTAGGTGTGCCTATTGCTCCGGAGAAGACCGAAGGTCCTGCTACAGTTATCTGTTTTTTGGGGTTAGAAATTGATACTGTTGAAATGTGTATTCGTTTGCCGGAACAAAAAATTCAGGAGATTGTACAAAAGATTCATACAATGTTGTCTAGGCCAAAAACAACACTAAAAGCTATGCAGTCATTATTGGGTGCACTGAATTTTGCTTGTAAAGCGATATTGCCAGGTCGCACATTTTGTAGACGGTTAATTAATGCCACCATGGGCCTCACCCAGCCTTATCATCACTTGAGAATTAACGATGACATAAGGGAAGATTTGAAATTGTGGTTAAAGTTTTTCAAGTCATTTAACGGCATTTCAGTATTTAGTGATCAATTTTGGACTACTAATTCTGACATGGAACTTTTTACTGACAGCTCGGCAAAAAGAGGGAATGGTTTCGGGGCATACTTTAATGGTAGCTGGGCATATGGTGTATGGCCAGAGTCATGGTTTGAACTGGGGTACACAAATGACATCACAATACTAGAGTTCTTTCCCCTCGTGGTGGCCGTACATATTTGGGGTGACCAATTGCGTAATAAGAAAATTTTATTTCGCAGTGATAACCAATCGGTTGTAGCAATAGTAAACACCATGACGACTAAGTCAACAATTGTTTTGTCAATGCTAAGGATATTTGTGTTGCGTTGTATACACCTCAACATGGTGTTTAAGGCAGAACACATCCCAGGTTGTTTTAATGTAATAACTGATAGTTTGTCACGTTTACAGCTGAAAAAATTCCGACAACTGGTACCCCAGGCAGAGACCACACCTGTTCCGATTCCAACGTGGCTATGGTCGGTTTGTCGGATGAAATTGGACGACTTTTGAATGCTAGTCTTTCGGGCAACACAAAAGCCTTGTATAACTGTGCATTACGTAGCTTTCAGCAATTCAGAACTTTATTTGGTCTCGTTAAAAGTTGGCCAGTGCCACTTGCACAACTTTTGTGGTTTGTTGCCTTTCATTCTAATAAGGGTTCTTCCCCGGCCACAGTAAAATCTTATTTATCAGCATTAAGTTATGTTCACAAGTTGCATTGTTGGGAAGACCCTACCTCGTTCTTCATTGTTACTAAAGCATTAGAAGGTTTTAGACGACTAAGAGGCTCTCCTGATATACGGGCCCCTATCACCTATGACATACTCATTAAAATCTTTCACGTGTTGCCCATCATTTGTAAGTCAAGTTATGAAACACAACTTTTCAGGACAGCATACTGTTTAGCATTTTTTGGACTGTTCAGGGTGGGGGAAATCGTGTATACATCAGCTTCAATATCGAAATGTCCTCTGCTCATCTCTGATATATCATTGAGCGATGAAGGAATAGTGGTAATAATACGCCATTCAAAAACTGACCAACGGGGAATGTCGACAACAATTTCAATTCCCAAAATTCCTGATTGTCCAGTTTGCCCCATAGTTAATATGGAATCTTATTTGAAAATAAGGCCAGGTAGTTCTGGTCTCCTGTTTAAACACCAGAATGGTTCCCCATTGACGCGTTACCAGTTTAGTGCATTGTTGCGAAAGTCAATCATTTGTTTGGGGATTCCACACCAAAATTTTAAATCTCACTCTTTTCGAATTGGGGCGGCTACAACTTTGTCGATGAAAGGAATTTCCGATGAATTAATTAAAAGTTTAGGTAGATGGAAATCCAAAGCATACTCGTCGTATATTCGCATTGATAAAGTTCTTCATTGCTAGTAGTTTTTATTGCATGAGAGTTGCCTCCCTTAGACTAATCAATTTAAGACGAATGACATAGTTCAATTAAGGCTAACAAAGCAAAAAGTATTTCAGATATCTGGATTTTGGGCTCATCAATTATCTACTGGGCACATCGGAAGTCACACACATTGTCGGATCCTAGCCTGCATCTCCAAAGTTTGGGGGCGAACATCAAATGGTTAGGCAAACGTGGAATGTCCTGGTTTGCTGTTAGAGGAGCCCTGACTTATCAGTTGAGCCAACAACCTCCACCACATTTCCTCGTTATCCATGCCGGAGGTAATGATTTGACGACAACACCAACATCAGAGTTGTGTGTACGCATTGAAAATGATGTGCACACATTGGCCAAAGACTTGCCACATTGTACCATCATATGGTCAGATATATTACCACGTCTACAATGGCGTGGCTGTACATCAGTGACAGGAATAGAAAGAAAACGCAAACGGGTTAATAGGATAGGTCGTCAGGCAGTTTTAAGTGTTGGTGGTAGGGTTGTTAAGCATGTGGATATTACGTATGACTGTGCAGGGCTTTTTAGGGCAGATGGGGTTCATTTAGAAGATATTGGCAATGCAATTTTTCTGAATACATTACAGGGAGCATTGGAAACTTTCGTCGTTGGTCACAATTCACCTGACACTGCAAAATTAATATTTGAATAATGTTCTGAGATATTTATTCTCTTTTGGTATGGGGATGGATGGTGGAACTGTATAAACAGTCCCAAGTGGCATGTTGTGACGAGCAGGCATATTTTTATAAGTTTCAAAATGTATAGGTTTGTGTGTGTAGTACATGTGTAGGAATTGTGGGGTACCGGTTTGCTATGGTTTTACCCTAGGAGTCGGGTAAACCCACATTATATTATAAACGAGTTTAACAGTAAACTCCCCATCACACTTGCCTTGTGAATCCCAGGGAGTCGAGATGGTGGAAGTACTATAACGGTAATTAGGATATAGTTATATGTATACATGTACAGTATTTGGTTTCTCCTTGGTGGAGAATGTTACGTAATACTTGCCAAGGTTATACCCTGGAAGTATGGTGGAGCCTCGTTGATCTGGGTAGATTGACAAGGCTATTTATAGTCAGGTACATGCAAACTCTGCCAAGGTTTACCCTGGGGAGGGTGAGTAGCTGATGTGTCCGGTACCAGTGTGGTAGATACTCAGTGTGGGGTACTTACCGTTGCATGTACCTAAAGTGTATAACTCTAGTCATTGGTGAGTTTAGTTAGGGTAAAATTACAACCCGCTTTGGATAACCCAGGGGGGAGGAAATTACCTGTCATTATAAAGGCCTGCTCGTCACATTTGTTGAGAATAAATATCATTAAATAGGCTGCGGCCATTTAATCCAAAAATGTGTGTTTATTGTTATTTCAAAAACATCATAAAATAATAATGCATTAGAGGGACTAGAATGACATGTCTTTGTTGACGCACCTGTTTGTTGTAGCGACACCAGGAAAGGCTGTACAGACAAACACACAGGTACAGGCAGTACATTGTACAAATGACGTAGTACGTGTTTTAGTCTTTTGACCGATACTAACGATTTGGTGTTAGAGACAGCAGTATCTAATATAAATGGTGGGAAAATCAATTCCTCTATGCATTTTTAACTGCTGTGTTATTACGGAAGTCGAGGTCGCTTGATGTAGGAATTGTCGACAAGTGACATGAACACTTCTTGTGAGATCGCGGATAAACCTGTTTTCATGTGTAAGACTATTGGAGGGCCAGATAATATAAGCTATTGTGATTTCTGATATGGACGAAGTTAAAACAGTTATTGTCGTTACACATGTAATACTGTGTCATATTAAACTATCCATACGATACAGCTGTTAACCAAGAGACGAGGTAGTTAATAGGCAGAAACAGTAAGTGAGTGGCTGAAATACGACAATGTCTCCGACAGAACCAAAGTAATTATCTGCCTAAAACACCAGTAAGTCAGTAGTAGTAGAGAAAACAAGTATGGGTCTTATAAGAAGATAATCTCGAATCAAGATTAAACATCATTTTAGGACTGCAGCACGCAAAGTTGAAACCATTGATTCTGTGCTCTTACAAATGTAGCATAATATGCTACTGTAACACGAAAACCTCACTCAACTCACATGTATTATCATATCAGGTCTTAGATCTTAGCATAATGCTACTGTAACACGAAAACTTCACTCAACTGACAAGTATTATCATATCAGGTCTTTGATCCTAGCATAATGCTACTGTAACACGAAAACCTCACTCATGATCAACTCACATGTATTATCATATCAGGTCTGAGATGATCTTAGCATAATGCTACTGTAACACGAAAACCTCACTCAACTCACACGTATTATCATATCAGGTCTTAGCTCTTAGCATAATGCTACTGTAACACGAAAACCTCACTCAACTCACATGTATTATCATATCAGGTCTTAGATCTTATCATAATGATACTGTAACACGAAAACTTCACTCAACTGACAAGTATTATCATATCAGGTCTTTGATCCTAGCATAATGCTACTGTAACACGAAAACCTCACTCATGATCAACTCACATGTATTATCATATCAGGTCTGAGATGATCTTAGCATAATGCTACTGTAACACGAAAACCTCACTCAACTCACACGTATTATCATATCAGGTCTTAGATCTTAGCATAATGCTACTGTAACACGAAAACCTCACTCAACTCACACGTATTATCATATCAGGTCTTAGATCTTAGCATAATGCTACTGTAACACGAAAACCTCACTCAACTCACACGTATTATCATATCAGGTCTTAGATCTTAGCATAATGCTACTGTAACACGAAAACCTCACTCAACTCACACGTATTATCATATCAGGTCTTAGATCTTAGCATAATGCTACTGTAACACGAAAACCTCACTCAACTCACACGTATTATCATATCAGGTCTTAGATCTTAGCATAATGCTACTGTAACACGAAAACCTCACTCAACTCACACGTATTATCATATCAGGTCTTAGATCTTAGCATAATGCTACTGTAACACGAAAACCTCACTCAACTCACACGTATTATCATATCAGGTCTTAGATCTTAGCATAATGCTACTGTAACACGAAAACCTCACTCAACTCACACGTATTATCATATCAGGTCTTAGATCTTAGCATAATGCTACTGTAACACGAAAACCTCACTCAACTCACACGTATTATCATATCAGGTCTTAGATCTTAGCATAATGCTACTGTAACACGAAAACCTCACTCAACTCACACGTATTATCATATCAGGTCTTAGATCTTAGCATAATGCTACTGTAACACGAAAACCTCACTCAACTCACACGTATTATCATATCAGGTCTTAGATCTTAGCATAATGCTACTGTAACACGAAAACCTCACTCAACTCACACGTATTATCATATCAGGTCTTAGATCTTAGCATAATGCTACTGTAACACGAAAACCTCACTCAACTCACACGTATTATCATATCAGGTCTTAGATCTTAGCATAATGCTACTGTAACACGAAAACCTCACTCAACTCACACGTATTATCATATCAGGTCTTAGATCTTAGCATAATGCTACTGTAACACGAAAACCTCACTCAACTCACACGTATTATCATATCAGGTCTTAGATCTTAGCATAATGCTACTGTAACACGAAAACCTCACTCAACTCACACGTATTATCATATCAGGTCTTAGATCTTAGCATAATGCTACTGTAACACGAAAACCTCACTCAACTCACACGTATTATCATATCAGGTCTTAGATCTTAGCATAATGCTACTGTAACACGAAAACCTCACTCAACTCACACGTATTATCATATCAGGTCTTAGATCTTAGCATAATGCTACTGTAACACGAAAACCTCACTCAACTCACACGTATTATCATATCAGGTCTTAGATCTTAGCATAATGCTACTGTAACACGAAAACCTCACTCAACTCACACGTATTATCATATCAGGTCTTAGATCTTAGCATAATGCTACTGTAACACGAAAACCTCACTCAACTCACACGTATTATCATATCAGGTCTTAGATCTTAGCATAATGCTACTGTAACACGAAAACCTCACTCAACTCACACGTATTATCATATCAGGTCTTAGATCTTAGCATAATGCTACTGTAACACGAAAACCTCACTCAACTCACACGTATTATCATATCAGGTCTTAGATCTTAGCATAATGCTACTGTAACACGAAAACCTCACTCAACTCACACGTATTATCATATCAGGTCTTAGATCTTAGCATAATGCTACTGTAACACGAAAACCTCACTCAACTCACACGTATTATCATATCAGGTCTTAGATCTTAGCATAATGCTACTGTAACACGAAAACCTCACTCAACTCACACGTATTATCATATCAGGTCTTAGATCTTAGCATAATGCTACTGTAACACGAAAACCTCACTCAACTCACACGTATTATCATATCAGGTCTTAGATCTTAGCATAATGCTACTGTAACACGAAAACCTCACTCAACTCACACGTATTATCATATCAGGTCTTAGATCTTAGCATAATGCTACTGTAACACGAAAACCTCACTCAACTCACACGTATTATCATATCAGGTCTTAGATCTTAGCATAATGCTACTGTAACACGAAAACCTCACTCAACTCACACGTATTATCATATCAGGTCTTAGATCTTAGCATAATGCTACTGTAACACGAAAACCTCACTCAACTCACACGTATTATCATATCAGGTCTTAGATCTTAGCATAATGCTACTGTAACACGAAAACCTCACTCAACTCACACGTATTATCATATCAGGTCTTAGATCTTAGCATAATGCTACTGTAACACGAAAACCTCACTCAACTCACACGTATTATCATATCAGGTCTTAGATCTTAGCATAATGCTACTGTAACAAGAAAACCTCACTACACTCACACGTATTCTCATATCAGGTCTTAGATCTTAGCATAAAGCTACTGTAACACGAAAACCTCACTTATTTTGGTCTATATATGTCAAAAATGTGTTGTATATGTTCTATAAAAAAAAACTTCACCTGAAAATAACCCTGTTTATATATTTGTTTTTAAAATGTCACAATTCCCATGATCTGAAGGTTATTTACTTTTTTTTTCAAATTTGTGGTACGTGTATATAGTTGTTTTCAGTAAAGAAATATCTGTGTATGTGGTGAAGTGCCCACTACAAATGTGGTGGTGTATGTCTAGCCCACCCCTACCCCCATAGTCCTGTAGGGCAGTCACTATTATGTAATCACTGAAGATGTCAAGGTTTATTATACTCTCAAACTAAGTACACTAATTAAGTGTTCAGTTCTAGTTAAGGAACATTGTACATATTGAAAATTCTAAATTTGTTACATATTTTTATTACATTTTCAAAGTTGAACTTATTGTAGAGATTGTTGGAATTCGTAAAATATTCATTCTGTAACATTTTTACTTTTTGAGTTGACCAGCAGGGAGAATGTATGGGACAACAAAATATCTTGTACATCAACAACAAAGTTCCTCTTTAACACATACATGTAGTTCAGTGGAAAACCTAAAAATGAAAAGAGACCAGTTATTGACAAAGACTCATAATCATAAACAATATTGTTTCTCATTATTATATTATTATATATATATTTTTTTTACAACGATTATGAAACAAGTTGAATGATGTTAGCGCGCGGGCGTGATCGGACAGGTGACCCCAAACCTTTTCATGTCCAATCGGGGAATCCCACCCCGACCGCCTTGGTGAAACCCGAATGCGCTATCCACTGCACCACCCGACCACTCATTATTATATAACCTTCCATTGTACATCTAATGCTTTTGTATGGGTTTAAATTCAAATCAGTGAAAAAGAAAAGTTTTGTACCTCTTCACTGCAGTGAAGTATACATATGTTTATGCTTTTATAGAGTGATTAATTCTTTAAATTATACAGCTAATTAATGTTATAAATAACCTTTTTTTACCTATTTTTACAGATCCTGAAATCCTGCTTCTCATAGATAGACAACAAATGGAATTTCCCATACACTCAAAACATTTGGTGTCAAAACTAATATTAATTTCAATTTGTGCAACACAGCTTAAACTAAGACAATCAATGTAGTCTTTGATGTGAGGAAACTCTTTGTGTACACTAGTTACAAATTGTTAGGTACTTTTTTACAGTTTGATTAATAAATGTTTTCACTTGCTGTGTGTTTTGCGATTTGACCAATTTCAGTCTGGAAATGCTATGCTGCAGAAATTATGAATAAATCACAGTGGATTAGACATATCTGCCAAAAATAAGGTTCATTGGAAAAGTGAAGAAGAGAGAAAAAAGAAGCCTTGCATTAAAACTTTACTCTGGTCTCATCGCAATGTTTTGATACAGGAGGTCTAGTGTCTTTTCTTTATTTTATAATCCATATACCGGAGAAAATCCTGGCATTGGAGAGCAGTGGTATATTTTCAGCAATTTTTAGTCAATATCAAACTTTCGAGGAGCCATTCTATGTGTAATTAAAAGAAAATTGGAAAATTGAGGGGTCAATTTCATCTTTGAAGGGGTCAATGGCCCTATGACCTTCCAGGATTATCCCTGTATAAATTCTTGTCACCCAATGCTTAACCAATTCATACTTCAACATTGGGTAATATAACTTTCATTTACCTCAAGTTCAATGAAGCAATTGCACTAAAGACAGGATATAGATATGAATTATGATATTCCTACATATATATGTACTCCACATCCATAACTATATGCAGTTTTGATAGTTATTTTTTATTATTTATGAAAATATTTATTTGGTGAAATTAGTGTTAATAATCTGTTGAGCTATACAATGCTTAACATGACAGAATTAATTTGATGTAATTGACCTTTGCTGAAAAAGCAAATTCATACTAAAATAGAACCAGATTTGTAACCTTTTCGAAAGTACAGAAATAAATGGTTTATAGTAAAGTATTTGTTTGTGTCATGTTCAGCTTTTTCACTTGTTCGTTTTGGGTATGTGTGTGTGTTTTCTCCCTTTTTTTACCATTTAATCATTACCATGAAGTAAATATACACAATCAAGCCGCTCCATGATGCACGTAGGTAACTTTTATGTGTCGCTCAATGTTACTATATGGGTGTGGCATTGTATTTAAACTACGTTAGTACCGGAAGACACCTGTGTGCCTGTGTTATTTACCAAACCAAATAACAATGTTTCTTTATTAATAGGTAATGTAATTGTTAGTGCATTTAACAACCTTTCAAAACTTGCCAGAAAATTCTGAACCTCACCACATTCCCAGAACATATGCACGATTGTCTCCCTTTCTCTATTACAGAAATTACAATTAGGATTGTTTGATAAGCCTATTTTATGTGCATAAGAGTTAGTTGTTAGAATATAGTGATTAACCTTAAATTGTAGCTAACGGAGTTTAGAATTTTGAGTTGATCGAAAAGGAATACTGTAAAAAAAAAATCCATTTATCTTCATTATAGTCAAAGATATTCCCCCATTTTTGCTGACCAGTTATGTTAATATTATTTTTCAGGAGTAAACGGTAGAAGTCCTGCGACCCATTTTTCTTTCTTTAGGATTAGCTCAAAATAAAGAGAAATAATCAGTAACGTCAATGTTCTACGTGGAGATGTAAAAGGCCTCAAGTATTTCTTAATACTTTGGATTACGCCATAATACTGTAAATAATTTGTTATTGTACCAAACACAGTACAGAATTCATTAAAATTATAAAAGGAGAAAGTTCTATTGTCTTTTATTAAGTCATTCACTATTCCAATTCCTGCATCGAACCATTTTTTTTGTAGAAAATTGGTTGGTTATTAACAACACTGTTTTTGTTAAACAGTTTTTGGTACATACAGTAACTTCCCCTTAATTCCGTTTCTGATATATCTGTAGGAGGGAGGGCACTTAGTCCTCGGGCTGACCGTGTTGTGATCGGGGCTCTAGTTCCGTTTCAATTTTATTCCCAGAACACTGTTGCTGATTTTTCTTTCAAAGTTCATCTTTATTATTGATGAAAGTTCCGGAAGTCATCGGTTTCATTTCAAATTTTTTTATTAAAGCTTCGTAGTGCAGGTAAAGTTGTTTCCAAAACCTGATTACATTGTCCATGTAACATATTTATACAAAAGGAGTGCCGTAACTGATCTGACGTCATTCATCTCTGTGGGAGAGACCCTACTCAATTACTTACAACATATGTTATAAACTGTCTTGTAATGTCCTCTATGCGGTAGATGTACAGTTTGGGTGTTGTGATTATTTTTGTCGTGAATCATTCTTGGCCACAGTGCCCGATAACAATCTACCAATGTTTTCGTTTCTCTTTTGTACCATTTTATGACACACACAGATAGAAAAAGCGATGAAGATACACCAAGGTACACCACGGTACACCGCTAAACACCACTAAACACCACGATACACCTAGGTAAACCAGGGTACACCACGATGTTTTAACGAAATTATTATTTTAATGTTTTAATAGAAAAACATTTACGGACTGGGAGAAGGGTTGAAACGTTGGAAACCTCCAGCATTCCCCATTTACCTAACACTGGTGTCTTTCCTTACAGTTTTCTTTATTTGTAATTAACTCTGTATGCGTTGTGACGTAGAACTCTAAACAACGAAGTATGGTAGGTAACTCTATGATTAATTGATCAATATGGTTTTAAGCTGTAATCCTAGTACGGGGAGGGGGTAATAGCGTGTCAGAGCGGTACAGTTAGGTTCTTCAGTCTGGATTGAAGGTGTACCGCTGATAAAAAAAAGATAGGAGTAAGTTTAACATGTTTCCTTATCACTTATCGTCGGATACCCACGTCGTTGAGAGTATAGATATCGTCAGATACCCATGTTGTTGAGAGTACAGATATCGTCGGATACCCACGTTGTTGAGAGTATAGCTACCGTCAGATACCCACGTTGTTGAGAGTATAGATAGCGTCATATACCCACGTTGTTGAGAGTATAGATAGCGTCATATACCCACGTTGTTGAGAGTATAGATATCGTGAGAGTATAGATATCGTCGGTAACCCACGTTGTTGAGAGTATAGGTATCGTCGGATACCCACGTTGTTGAGAGTATAGATAGCGTCATATACCCACGTTGTTGAGAGTATAGATATCGTCGGATACCCACGTTGTTGAGAGTATAGCTATCGTCGGATACCCACGTTGTTGAGAGAATAGATAGCGTCAGATACCCAAGTTGTTGAGAGCATATATATCGTCAGATACCCATGTTGTTGAGATTATAGCTATCGTCAGATACCCACGTTGTTGAGAGTATAAATATCGTCGGTAACCCACATTGTTGAGAGTATAGATAGCGTCGGTAACCCACGCTGTTGAGAGTATAGCTATCGTCGGATACCCACGTTGTTGAGAGAATAGATAGCGTCAGATACCCAAGTTGTTGAGAGCATATATATCGTCAGATACGCATGTTGTTGAGAGTATAGCTATCGTCAGATACCCACGTTGTTGAGAGTATATATATCGTCAGATACCCAGGTTGTTGAGAGTATAGATAGCGTCGGGAACCCACGTTGTTGAGAGTATAGATAGCGTCGGTAACCCACGTTGTTTAGAGTATAGATATCGTCAGATACCCATGTTGTTGAGAGTACAGATATCGTCAGATACCGACGTTGTTGAGAGTATAGATATCGTCAGATATCCACGTCGTTGAGAGTATAAATATCGTCAGATACCCACGCGTTGTTGAGAGTATAGATAGCGTCGGTAACCCACGCTGTTGAGAGTATAGCTATCGTCGGATACCCACGTTGTTGAGAGTATAGATAGCGTCGGAAACCCACGTTGTTGAGAGTATAGATATCGTGAGAGTATAGATATCGTCGGTAACCCACGTTGTTGAGACTATAGATATCGTCGGTAACCCACGTTGTTGAGAGCATAGATATCGTCAGATACCCTTGTTGTTGAGAGTATAGCTATCGTCAGATACCCACGTTGTTGAGAGTATAGATATCGTCAGATACCGACGTTGTTGAGAGCATAGATATCGTCAGATACCCATGTTGTTGAGAGTACAGATATCGTCGGATACCCACGTTGTTGAGGGTATAGCTATCGTCAGATACCCACGTTGTTGAGAGTATATATATCGTCAGATACCCAGGTTGTTGAGAGTATAGATAGCGTCGGGAACCCACGTTGTTGAGAGTATAGATAGCGTCATATACCCACGTTGTTGAGAGTATAGATAGCGTCGGATACCCACGTTGTTGAGAGTATAGATAGCGTCAGATACCCAAGTTGTTGAGAGCATATATATCGTCAGATACCCATGTTGTTGAGAGTATAGCTATCGTCAGATACCCACGTTGTTGAGAGAATAAATATCGTCGGTAACCCACGTTGTTGAGAGTATAGGCTCGGGAACCCACGTTGTTGGGAGGATAGATATAGTCGGGAACCCACGTTATTGAGAGTAGATATATCGTCAGATACCCACGTTGTTGAGAGTATAAATATCGTCAGATACCCACGTTGTTGAGAGTATAGATAGCGTCGGATACCCACGTTGTTGAGAGTATAGCTATCGTCAGATACCCACGTTGTTGAGAGAATAAATATCGTCGGTAACCCACGTTGTTGAGAGTATATCGTTGTTGAGAGTATAGATAGCGTCAGATACCAAAGTTGTTGAGAGCATATATATCGTCAGATACGCATGTTGTTGAGAGTATAGCTATCGTCAGATACCCACGTTGTTGAGAGTTTAAATATCGTCGGTAACCCACGTTGTTGAGAGTATAGAGCATATATATCGTCAGATACCCATGTTGTTGAGATTATAGCTATCGTCAGATACCCACGTTGTTGAGAGAATAAATATCGTCGGTAACCCACGTTGTTGAGAGTATAGAGCATATATATCGTCAGATACCCATGTTGTTGAGAGTATAGCTATCGTAAATATCGTCGGTAACCCACGTTGTTGAGAGTATAGATATCGTCAGATACCCACGTTGTTGAGAGTATAAATATCGTCGGTAACCCACGTTGTTGAGAGTATAGGCTCGGTAACCCACGTTGTTGAGAGTATAGATATCGTCGGTAACCCACGTTATTGAGAGTAGATATATCGTCAGATACCCACGTTGTTGAGAGTATAGATAGCGTCGGTAACCCGCGTTGTTGAGAGTATAGATAGCGTCGGTAACCCGCGTTGTTGAGAGTATAGCTATCGTCGGATACCCACGTTGTTGAGTGTATAGATATCGTCAGATACCCACGTTGTTGAGAGTATAGTTATCGTCGGATACCCACGTTGTTGAGAGTATAGATAGCGTCGGTAACCCGCGTTGTTGAGAGTATAGCTATCGTCGGATACCCATGTTGTTGAGTGTATAGATATCGTCAGATACCCACGTTGTTGAGAGTATAGCTATCGTCAGATACCCACGTTGTTGAGAGTATAGTTATCGTCGGATACCCACGTTGTTGAGAGTATAGATAGCGTCGGTAACCCACGTTATTGAGAGTAGATATATCGTCAGATACCCACGTTGTTGAGAGTATAGATATCGTCGGTAACCCACGTTGTTGATGGTAAAGATATCGTCGGTAACCCATGTTGTTGAGAGTATAAATATCTTCAGATACCCACGTTGTTGAGAGTATAGATATCGTCGGATACCCATGTTGTG